CTTTCAAAGGATTTATTAGCCACCCCAAGATAATTTTGCCCGCCTGTCTTCTGATGACGAGATACTAACATGTACTTAGTTTTTTCTCGAGACATTACCGTAATTTGGAAGCATGTTTAGAATTTGCTGTTGAGACATAATTAAAACTGGGGATGTGGGTCTAATGAAGTGTGGAAGTGTATTTATTCCGGAAGTGGAATGATGGACATCGAGGCCAGTCGTTAACTTCCGTGAACTTGCTCCTAAAACTCGTTATTCTCTATAAAGAAATGTGGTGTAGAGGCGTTCGAGGAAGAATCTCACATGTGTCCCTGTTTATCTAACCAGTCTTTCTCATAACCTCGCTTCTCGATGTTGAAGGAATATTCTAAGACAGTCCGGTCCTTGAAAACACGGCTACTACAGGTTTCGTTCGTGAATTTGAGTTTCTAATGTGTGGTTTGTGACTCGTGTTGTGATTTTGAGAGTTGAAGACCAGTAAGGAAAGATGAAAATGAGTTTTTAAGGTGTCTGGACATTTCAGAAGGGAAGGAGACTCATGCAGATTTTCAACTTAGTTTCATGTCTCTCGGCGCGGTCATCCGACTTTGAGTACGAATGAAGGTTTGTGTGATATTTTCGTACATTTAAGTCGAAGGCAGATGGAAGGCTCCATTACCCATATCAGTTCTCTGTTTGACACTTATATTCCGTGTGATTTTAAAAAATTGATAAATAAATATTGACAAAATATTTAGGTGGCTATGCATTTTTTTGGAATGTCGAAATTTTATGAAATTCAGTTATCTGTTGTTAGTGTAGTCAGCGTAATACGTATCGAAGTAATTATTACATTTAGATTGCAAATGGGCGTATCTGCTGCTTATAATTAAAGATATCTCGTTTATATCTCAAGTTCACTTCAGATTTACAATTTTTTTTGTGTCTAATATCTCTTGTGTGTCTCCTCCCAGACATCGGTTTGATAACAGAGACAACGTTCAAAGCCATTCTTCTTAGATTTGCTGTTATCGTGTGCTTATGCAGATGGTTTTTTAACCTTAAGATTGTTTGTGGGTAGAAAGTAATTCGTAAACTCCTTGTTGGAATGCATTACCTCCTACTCGCATTTTTAGGGCAGGTAAAAGTGAATGGCCAGGTCGAGGGTGTGTCCTTTCGTGATGTTCCCCTTTGAGTCACTGGATCCCTTGCACACTCAAACGGTTTCTTGATTAAAGCTTCTCGGATTCGCAAAAAATCGTTTCGAAGCATTCCTTCATGCAGACGTGTGTTGTCATCACCAAATTACATTTACGGTCGTCTGGCGGTTAGAACGCTGGCCTTGTAATCCTGGGGGTCTCGGGTTCGATTCCCGGCGGTGCCCGGATTTATAACTTGTGTTGGGCAAGGCCGTGGTCTAGGCAACACAGAGTTTTCCTCCGTGGCATCCCAACAATTACTCCATTCACACACAGAAGAAGGCAATGGCAAACCACTTGTGGATCATCTGCCAAGAACGTATATGAACAGGTCCCAGTCCGAGAAAAGGAGGGAATGATCCTGTTCATATGGACCTGTCGTCACACAGAACACTAAATAAATAAAATAAAATAATTATGTGAACAGGAAAAGTGGTTTTTCATTTTGAAAGAATAAAAAATCTTTAAGGGTGTTCAGCAGCAAAGAATTGAAGAGAATATTTGTGACTAAGAGAAATGAATGCAGAATTTAAGAGAATTACATTGAACTCCATAAGATGTACATTTAATAAATTAGACGAGCGAAGAATGCTTATAACACTGGACTGACATCTAAATAATCTTTGAATAGGCCCTGCTTTGTTTTGTTTAAGACGATATTCCGCGTTCGGTGGAGGACCGGGCGAGAGATGGTCCTCCAATTGGGAATTAAATAATCGTACTTTGCTATTCTCCTACTAGCTTAATTTTGCTTTTTTTATTAACGTACAAGGATTACATTAGCAATCTTACAAACCAAATGTTATCAGATGTCCCTACCTTCAGTGACCTTGACTGACTCCAGATAACTTCGGAGGACGTGGATTCCTATTCGAAAGTCGTTCTCTCTGAGTCCCTCTATACGCTCCTTCAGTTTGGCCCTAATATTTTGAATCACCCTGTATATTTATTAGTGTTTCCCTGTCAATGTTATTTGTTCGTTGTGAAACACTGAAATGGAGGATTTTACTACCACTACAGCTGCTGAAAGTCCTCCTGTTCGTACCTCATTTCCGGAAGGTTTAAAAGTGTACTCACGACAGGAAGGAACTTGGCTTTTCATAACCAAATATCTGGCCGATAATGATAAATGTTAAAATACGGAACAGGTTTTTAGTCTGAAAACCGGAAATCAAGAGATCTCTTCCGGGATACGTTCGTAGATTGAAGGACAATGTTGAAATCGGTCTTGAAGAGCGTGGTTTATGTGGGGCGCTCGTCAACACGATATTGAATTTTGGGGTTCTATAAAAGACTGAATGTATTTACCAGACGAGAGACTGTTAGCTGATGTATGTGATGTCAGTTCGTTGAGCAATTCTGAAATTAAATCATTAAAATATTCTCATTTATTAATTAATTATAATATTCCATACTTTCCATGCCTTGAAGAAAGTTATTTGGAGTGTTAAGAATGCACTATCAATTGTTTCGCCTTTCTCGTTTTGTTTACATAGCTTTTCATATTTGTACCATCCTGTAATCACAAAATAGTGGGGATCGTTGT